AAAACATAATAGTTTAATAAAAAAAGACAGCTAATTGGTCCATAAGCTGAAAGACTTTCAGTCATAGAATGTAAAACATTTGTCAAAGATTATGTAATGAAGAATTCTGTAAGTAGACTTTTAGGTTACATCAACTTTTGATTCTTGGCACTATTTATTGTCTCTATTATCATTTTATCTTTATCTATAAAACAGCACAAATAAAAATATACAGTCTATAAAATTGTTGTGAAAACAATATAATAATAAACATAATGATACTAGCATATCAATGAGCTCACCATAGCCTCCTAGGTATTCTGTTATTTTTATTACTAGGAAATATTACTACTTTCCTAATACATGAACTTACAATAGTGTATTAGTTTTTTTATGGCTTCTGTAACAAATCATCACAAACATAGGTTAATCAAGACAGATTTACTCTCAGATAGTTCTGAAGGTCAGTTCAACTGGACTTAAGTCAAAGTGCCATCAGGAGTGGTTTCTACAAGATTTAGAAAGGAATGTGTTTTCTGTAGTACTAACCTGCCAGGCAAGATGTACTTACTTGTGTAATAGTGACATGACTGTTATGGAGGTAACCAACCACTTTCTGCTTGGATTTTAGTCTATTCCACAGGACAAATTTATGTCTGGTACTATAAACCTATTCTAAAGCCCATGGCTGGGGAAGCTCTAAGCCCTAGTGGGGAACCTACTGTTGTTTTGCTGTATATGATGTCAAACTACCTTCTAAATATTTGTTCTACCCTAGATTAGTGCTGTTCTTAGTCAGAGCAGCTTCTGTTGAAAGTGAGTAAAAGTTGATGTAGAGACTCCAAACTGGTTGCATTTCCTGAGAATAGTGACCTTTGAGCACTCAGCCTGAAATGGGACATCTATATCACTCCCTCCAAGGCTCAGGTAACATTATCAAAGAGGGTGACTCTTCCCTCAAGAAAGTAAGAGCCAGAGGATGGAAAGGAGTGCTGTGAAACGCTGTCTTCTGGACATAGCATGATAGCTGCACCTATGGACTTGTGGACTCACAGCATTAATGGCTCTTCACACAAGACCTGAACAAGACTAGGCCTATCAATATCCATCAGACAGGGAGGGGCTCATGAGACCGCACAGCTCCCTGAGGAACAATAGGCAGTTAATGGTTGCTACAGGAAGAGACTTGTATTTCTCAGTGGTAGTCACAGATAAGCTACTGTGCTCTAGTAAATACCCCATCCATACCCAGGCACTCACCCTAATTAAATGCTATGGGCCACAAACAAACAAAAAAGAGACACAAAGACAGGATGGAGACTTGATGGGAAGAGGAATGGGTTCAGTAAGAGGGGAAGGAGTTAGTAGACAGTAATGCAGGAGAGTGTGATCAAACTACATTACACACACACACACACACACACACACACACACACACACCACAATGAAATTGTGGAAGAATAAAAAATAATAATAAAAAAAGAGAGAATTGGTGCTGGTAGTCCTAACAAGTTAGGCTTGGCCTCCTGTCTTCTCTAAGCTAATAAAAAAGAAAGAATAATACATAGTGGAAAGCAGAGAAAGGAGATTTATCCAATGTAGTCACACTGGGACAGAGAGATGCAGGGACCCTCCCAGTCCATCTTCAGGGTTTAAATAAAAGGTATGAGATCTGTATAACAAAGTCCAGCCAAGATGTGGTCTCCTGGCCCACCATTCTCTACAGTTCTCTATACTACAAGATCAGTGTCTTTGCAATCTTTCTTCAGGAGACAAGTTCTTCCTCTAGCTATTTCTAGGGCTTCAGCCTCTTCTCCCAGTGGGAGATTCCTGGGGAAATTCTAATTTCTTGGGGTCCATTGTTTCAATAGTCTGATAGCCAACAGGAGAAGGCACAAATGTCTTTTTAGAATATCCTCATTTCTGCCAGGCAGACTGGTTTTAGAATGTATTTCCATCTTTTGCAGTTTCTGGAGACTATCTGATTCTTTTGGTCCCTCCTTTATCTTCACAGACTGTTGCCAACTAACTGTATATATAAATAAATCACCTTATTGGATTCCTGCCTCCACCATATTAGGATCCTTATTATGATTACTGTTAGCTCGCTTGGGACAATCCACTTTTCTACTGATCCTTACTTTAGTCTGATCTGCAAAGTCTTATTACCACATTTAACAAGTTCACAGGGAACAGGACTTTGAGCTCTGTTAGAGGTAGGAGGGAAAGGGCAGTGATCAGCTTATCACATTAGAGATAAATACAAGATGATTTAGGACAGGTCAAACATTAAATTCCAGAGTCATTTGTTTTCTTTCTCAATATTATCACTAACAAACCTCACAATTTCTAAAAAAACAAATGAGTAAATACAAATATTTGATGGCCATGATCAAATTCCCATTTTTCTTGAAAAGACTTTTCATTTGTTACTGGGGTACTGAACTCCCTTTTGTGGGTTCTTAGTCTCATTAATAAGGGAATCTAGAAGTTCAGAAGGAAACCCAGGCACCATTTTATTAGAATTTAAGAGAAAAAGAATAAGGTAGGTAAACTGTAAATCTCAGGAGCTGCTGGGAAGAGATAGATAAAGAGAAAGTCACGCATTCTGAGTTGGACTCCAAGAAACCAGGCAGGGTCACAATGGAGATGGGCAAGCAGCTGCCTGGTTCGGGGGCAGTCCTTCAGAGAAGAGTGAGGAAGTTGCCTGTCAGAGCCAGCATGCTTAGCATGGATTTTGGTCAGTGTCCAAGGAGATAGAAAAAAAGAAAAAATTAAGCTTTTTGATTTAGAAAAGCAGACAGGCTTAGCAGTAAAGATCTATAAGTAACTGTACAGGAAAGGGGTGTGGTGGTAGGCCCCTGGGGAGTACATGAACGTTATCTTATTAAGGGAATAATTATTGCTCACATCTCCTTAGCACATCTTCAGGGGAATCAGGTTTCTTAAATGGTGGTCTTCCAGTCAGGTAATAGGCCTAATTGTATTAACTACTGATTTATTTATTTTTGTTTTATGTGTATGAGAGTTTTTGCCTGTATGTATGTAATTGCACCCCATGTCTGTGCAATGTCCACAGAGGCCAGAAGAGGGCATCAGATCCTTGGAACTAAAGTTACTGATGGTTGTTAACTGCCATGTGGGGGCTGGGAACCTCTGAGCCATTTCTCCAGATCCCCACTCCCCACAATTGTATTAACTCTTAAAGGAACAGAAAATAGTATATGATGTTTTGATCTGTGGGGCAGTTGAAAACCTCATGTCAGTTCCAGGTAGAACTCAGATTCCTTTCTTCTGAGAAGAAGAAAACTTTCTCACAATGGGTCTCAATGAAGTCCAGATAGCTCCACCTTTTCTTAGGGTATTGTAAATCTTGAGGGGTTGTGGTGGTGCCAGGAAAACTGGAGATGGGGTCCAAAACTGACCATGAGGGAGGGCTCCATGGTCAATGGCCTTCAAGACTGGGAATGAGTATCTGTATAGTTACTTCACACATTAATCGCTTGAAAATCTACTGTTCACTGCTTCTTGTTGCTGTTTCCCTTCTTCAGCTCTGCCCATTTGTTTCCTAGCTGGCCAACTAGCCTCCAGTCCCACTGTGGTCAGGATCACCCAAACCACTGCGTTCCCTTTTCACCCTTTCTAGAATTCCAATACATTTGTATATTTATAGCTTTCCTACAGCTAAGCAGGCTAGAAAGGAGGGAGGTAAGTGTGCAAACTCAAAGTCAACAGGCTAAGAAAAATAAAAAGAAAACAAACAAAAAAATAAAAAGAAAAAAATGTCGTTAAGGCAGAAATAAGACTACATAGGCTCTGTTTTCACTTTGTTGTTATTAGGGTTTCAAACAGCAGCAGCTTGCCCCCTCCCCAACAGGGACCTATGGACTTTTGAAGCCTGAAAAAGGGAACTGAGCTGATCAGCACCTTGGCCTTTGAAGCCAAGGGAAACAAACTCTGCTAAGAAGCAGCCTGCCTTTCCTCTATCTCCAAAGACAAGACAAACAGATTCTACCTGTTAACCAGACATTTTAGGAGCTGTTTAACACAGCAGCTTTTCCCTTATCTTAAGAGGAAAAAAGTCCTGCCTGACAGACTGAGCAGAGCCAGGTTTACAAGCCCTGCTTTTCCTGCTTCCCACTGCTTGATTTTTCCCCAAACATCCCCCCCTCTTCTGCACCCTAAGGCCCCCATATATAAGTCCCAGCTCACAACCCGTGGGCTGACATCTTTCCCTTCCCCAGGGAAACGTGTCCCATGGGAAATAAAGTTGTATCCCAATGAGAGTTCTATCTGCGCCTTGGTGCCTCATCCTCCGCTCTCTAGCTCTCCGCCCAAAACTTTTACCTATCAGTTGTTTAGTGGTATTTCTTAGTCCAGGAAGATCCCAAATAGAGCTCCAAACCGAGCAATTTCCAGATTCTTGTAATAAACTCATGTACTCATTCTCATTCTGTTTCTCTCTGTCCCCACCCCCATACCTGTCCAGGCAACCAGGCCCCGAGCTCAACCATGGCTTTCATGCTTTCTGAATCCTTGGTATTATGCTTCCGTGCCTCTTTTAATCTTGCCTTGTTTACATGTCCCCAGATTTTCTGTCTCAATTCCCTCCACAGTTTTGAAAAAATTCCAAAGCCTCTGTGTTTTTTTTTTTTTTTTTTTTTTTTTTAAAAAAAAAAAAAAAAAACTGACCGAACAGGAGGATGCTAAAAGCTACTTTCCCCAAGTTAACCTCATTATGTTGTGATGAAGGCTAAGTGAAACTTAACTGGTGTCTGAACAGAAAGGAAACCGAAACCTTTCCTAAGGTACAAAAGGCCGCCTGGGTGGCGGAGAAGCTCCCTGTCTGAAGAGCGACCGGTCCACTCTGTCCACTGGGAGCGCTCCTCCTTCTCCGCCCGCGTTCTGTGCTCTGTCGGTCGGGCACGCAGGGCAGCAGCTCTTTGGATGCAGCAGGTCCGGGTCGGGGTCTGGGGTGTGCGTGAGCCCTAGGGGGTCGCGTAGGGCAGGCCTGGGTTCCTGGGGCGTGTCGAGGTGCATCCCGAGAGAGGGGCTGGAGCGGAGCTGTTGGGTCTGGATTCTGCATCCCCTGAGTGGACCGACCGGGAGGTATCCTTGTGGTGCGGTAGTATGCACACCCGCCGTCCTCCCTAGACCGGCAGAGGTCAGACACAGGGAAGGGGTGGCGGCGGTGAGCGTGCAGGGAAGGGATCCTGCTAATCCTTTCACAGGGGTCTGGGATAGAGCAGTAACAAAGGAGCATCTGATAGGAGCACAGCCCATACAGACTTCCGTAGCCGCAGCCTTTCTGCTGGGAAGAATCTGGGGCCCATTCCACTTGCAAAGCTAGAAGCTGCATTTGAACAAGAATCCAGATGAATTCTAGGTATCTGTAAATTTCAGTAGCTAAGACAATTTTTTAAAACTCTCGCCCCCTCCCTTTCTTTTGATACAGTCTCTCTGTGCAACTTGGTACTTTCTGTGGAGCCCAGACTGGCCCGAACTTACAGAGATGCTCCTGCCTAAGCCTCCCTGTTTTACTCACCTAAAACAATGTAACAATGTATTTACATGAAGGAGTAGGCATCAGCTTTCTTTTTCCCATAATAGATTATCACACACTCAGTAGTTCTAAACAAAACTAATATTATCATTTTACAGTGTCTGTCCAGGCACAGGTTAACTGCTCTTGCCCAGCATTTCACCAGCCTGAGCTGAAGGGCTGTCCTCTCCATTCAGGTCCAGGATGCTCAGCCTGGTTGTTTACTTCAGCACCAGGACAGGGGTCCTCTGCTGACTTGCTTGTTGTTGGCTAGGGGTTGTGCAGAGTCTCATCCTTTACATTCCCACCCTCAAACCACTCCTTGCAAGGTGGTTGTGCCTTCCAAGCCTGAAGAAGACTTTCTCCCCTATTTACCATGATGGTAACCTAGTCACCAGAGTGACTGTCCCATTAAACTAAATCATAATACAGGAGCACTCAAGGAGGAGGTTGCATAGGGCATGTGTAGCAAGATGGCAAAGGCATTTCAAAATGCATCCTATGGGGATGGGTCATCTTTTCTCCTGAACCGTTCCACCAACTTCTCTCCTATCAGCAGCTCCAGCAACTCCAGTATTCTGCTCCAATAGTTAACTATGTCTTCCTATACTTTCCTCCCTCCCCTTTCCTTCTGTTCCTTCCTCTTTTCTTCTTAGGTTTTAAGAGTCTTCAAACAGAATACAAATAGAATTCTGACTCTTCTGGGATTGGATGATTTGGCTTGTAAACGTCTTTCATCTCATTACAACCTGTTTAGACATGAGTTATGTGTGTGGTGTCCTGAAGAGATGTCCTAGTTCTTGTTATATCGTTTAGTGTTGCTCTGATCTCTAAATGTCTTTTAAGTTAGTCATTACCACTAGAATCTTGATCAATTCAGGTTTGACTTGTTTGGAGAGAGGGGTGTGTGGGCTAGTCATTTTAATAAAGGTGCAGGTGTTTGCCTCTATGTTTGTCATACTGTCCCCTAAAAGTACCAAGAGTTGTTAGCACACCAGGAGTTGTAACATGATGAGAGGGTACCAACTCTTCTCTGTTTAGCAGGTGGGTGGCATCTGGAAACAGACCTTTCACTCATACTTTGGAAACTCACTTATGCAACACTTATCAGAACAGCAGGTTGACAGCACGATTATAGTCATTTTGACATATATAGATACTATCTTTGCAGTAACAGACAAGGGACTTAGCATTCATTCTTTTTTTTTTTTTTTCCAGTTACCCTTTTCTGAGCCTCCTGATTTGGTTAGTAAATGACGATAATTTTTTACATCAAGGTTTATCATGTTTTCCAGGATTTTGTGACAGTTCTCATGATTCATTTCTTTTTGAGTCAAAGTGGAAAACCAGTAAACAACACTTTTAAAATTATGATTATATACATAGTTTTCAGTTTTATTTTGATTATTTTTAGTATTTCTTGTGTGTGCGCCTGTGTGGGTTCATGTGTATGTGAATGTGGGTGCCCACAGAGGCCAAAGCCATTGGATCTTTTGGAGTTGGAGTTATAGCCAGTTGTGAGTTTCCTGATGGGTGCTGGGAACTGAATTCCACTTCTCTGCAAGAACAATGTGTACTCTTAATAACCACTGTGCTATCAATCTGGCCCTTATGTACATATTTCTTTATTTTTAAAAAAATTTTTTAATTTATTATCTTTATTTTATGTATATGCATGCATTGCCTGCATGTAGGTAAGTGCAGCCATACTGTGCAATGCCCACAGAGGACAGAAGAGGCTGTCGGATCCCCTGGAACTGGAATTACGGACAGTTTTAGCTACCATGTGGGTACTGGGATTCGAACCTGGGCCTTCTGCAAGAACAGTCAGCATTCTTAACTGCTGAGCCATCTCTCCAGCCCCATGTACATATTTCTTAAAAGCACAGTACAGGTAGGGAAGTCAGAGGACAGCTTTTGCGAGTCTGTTCACCCCCTCTGCCATGTGGGTCCTTGGGAGTGGAACTCAGGTCTTCAGACCTTGGCAACAAGCGTCTTGACCCACTGAGCCATCTTGCTGGCTCACTTATGTGCACATTACTCATTGTAGCTGCAGTCTTTATGTGTGGCTGGGAATGTGGCGCTGTATCATTGTGACTACAATTGGAAATGGGTTTTCACTAAATTTAAAGTATTTACATAGCTTCTTTGAATCTTTTGGGTCATGCGTGATTTCACTGTTTTCTGAATTATTCTCACTTGCACCCCTCTACTTTCTTAAACAAACTTTCTTAAATAAAATTATAATATAAAGATATATAGTTGGTGAAATTTCTCATTTCTTAATGCTTGGTTATGTCTTTTTACCTTCTCAATGACCTGAGTGTGCAAGATCAGAATTCTAGTTTCAGAATATTTTCCCATTAGAAATTTGATAATGTGTGAATCTGTTATCAACATGTCGAACAATATTGCTTATTTTAAATCTTTGAACTGTCTGTCAGGTCCAATTTTAAGCAATTTGTTTCCATCAGTCCATGTATTTAAATAACTTGATATGTAGAAAAAGTAAACGAATAGCCCAGCTTTGACAGCTACAGCTATATATTATGTTTGAGGATTCAATCCCAGATAGTCATGCCATTGTCAACTTCATTTATAGCCTCTTTAATTTCCATTTTTTTCTCAGTAGTTCATCCTGTGTATCTTCTCTTGGAGCTTTGCACTTTCAAGAAGGGTGCCTGCTTTTATTTATTTATTTATTTATTTTTAATTAATTAATTTATTTTTGTGTGTGTCTTTTTCTTTTTTTTCCCTTAGCACTTGGGGAAACTTTTCAACTGATATATGTTTTTCTTTAGCCTTGGTCTAAGAATCCCAGCACTTGGGAGGCAGAGGCAGGTGGATCTCTGTGAGTTCAAGGCCAGCCTGGTCTACATAGTGAGTTCCAGGACAGCTGGGCCTACAGAGAGACCTTGTCTCAAAAAAAAAAAGAATATATTTCTTAAAAAATATATCCTTTATCAATCTTATCCCCACCCATTTTAGAATTTTAGTTCTCCTCTATGGGGAATTGCTATTAGATGGAGTCAGAATTTTGGTTTTAAAATATTGTATCTATTTTCTAGTATTTTCTTCTCTTTCTCTTTTTCTTGGTCCTTTTTGAGACAGGGTCTCCTTGACCCTGGAGCTCACTATGTAGACCCGGCTGGCCTTGAACTCATTGAGATCCGCCTCCCTCTGCCTCTGAAGTGCTGGGATTAAAGGTCTGTGCCACCACATCCAGGTTATTTTCTTCTCTTTCTCATCTGTCTTCTAAGAAATTTCCCATATTTTAATGCTTTAATAACTTTTATAGGAGGTGGGGCCATGGAGAGGGCACTTTTGTATTCCATATAATGGAGGCACCTTTTATAGTCCATATTGTAGAAAAGAATCCACACATGTGTGTTATTAGCAATTTATGATATGCATAGTACACACTACTAAGATTGGCTTGTTATGAGTTAGTTTCCAGCCCAGGAAGCAACTGGAGTAGTACAGGAGTCATACTGGCAGACAGTGGACTCAATCTTCTGAGAAGAGACTGGACCAGAGAGTCAAGACGGCTCTGGAAGGATTGCCCACCTTGGTCCTTGGTCTGTCTTAATAAGGACTGCTGGCCAGAGATAAGATGGAAGGCAGTTTCTTTGGGGGTGATGACCAGCTGCCTCATCAGATCACCAGCTCTCTGAAAAATGCACACCTTAGATATTCAATTCCTTCCTCTGCTCACTGGTGTTTGTGGGGCAAGGTATCATGAAATCTGGTATTCTGGTTAGTATTTTGATGACTGCTTAGACAGCTTCAGAACTCTACAATAAGACATTGAGTTAGTCTTAAAAGTGGCTTGGATAGGAGAACCCAGGAGTTCAGGCTAGGAAACTCTTTACGGACCCAAGTGATTCCATTTGGGGACTTTACCTTTCCTGGTCACCAGCATGCTTCACTTAACAAATCAAATTTCTGTACTTTCTGGATTTGTTCCTGGGTTATAGCTTGTTTTGTCTCTAATTTAAAAATACTTTCATTTTTTCCCTCCTCTATGTGTTTGGACAGCAGTTTAAAGATACCTTTCTGTTCTGCTCTGTCTCATCTGCTTCAGAGCTCTGTTAGAACAGGTGTCATAGCCTCCGTCCCTGGCAACAGTATCATAGGGAGTGTCCTGGAAAGTTGGTGTGGTGATGTTTGTGACCCTATAAAACAGAAGAAAACTATGTGTTATTGTAATATACTTTGGGTACTTTACATTAATTTCTAAACATTGTTATTTTACTACTAAAGTCAGAAATAGGAAAAGATGTTACCTTAAGTGTCCACAACCAGCTTCACTTTCTAATCTTTACCTCTTATTAAGGGAGCTCTGCATAACATGTAAAATTTGGACATCGTTTCTAATTAAGACTGCACTCCAAATTCATGTGATTATTTTTATGTGCCATTTAATGTCCAAAAGAGCATGGGACAAAGCTTAATCTGCTTCTAGAATTCCAGACTATAGCTGAGCATTAGACTTGTGTCTATATTAGATTTAGGGCCTCTAAATTATATATTATTTAAGAAAAAAAATCAATATACAAGTGCTCTGGACCCAGCCTGCCATCACTGCACCCAACAGCAAGTCTCCTGTCTATCTTGCACTA